AAAAAAAAATCCTAATTTATCAAATCAAAACCACACTGAGATACCATCTCACTCCAGTTAGGATAGCTAACATCCAAAAGACTGAGAACCATAAGTACTGGAGAGGTTGCAGAGAAAAAGGAACTCTTATCCACTGTTGGTGGGGCTGCAAAATGGTGCAGCCTTTATTGAAAATGATATGTAGGTTCCTCAGACAATTACAGATAGATCTACCATATGACGCAGCGATCCCACTGCTGGGAATATACCCATAAGAATGGAAATCATCATGCTGAAGGGATACCTGTACTCCAATGTTTATTGCAGCTCTCTATACAATAGCCAAGAGCTGGAACCAGCTGAAATGTCCATCATCTGATTAGTGGATAAGGAAACTGTGGTACAACTACACAATGGAATACTACTCTGCTATAAAAAAGGACGAAATACTACCATTCGCAACAACATGATGGACTTAGAGAAAATTATATTAAGTGAAACAAGTCAGGCACAGAAAGAGAAATACCACGTTCTCACTTATTTGTGGGAGCTAAAAATTAATAAATAAACAAACACACAAACAAATAAAAGGTGGGGAGAAGACAGAATAACCACAAAAATTCCTTGAACTATTTAAGCCAAGTGCACAGATACGATGTGGGGGAGGGCGAGGTGGGGGGAGAAGTACGGGTAAAGGGGCATGAAAATCAAGCACAATGTATTTTGAGAAGTAAAATGAAATAAAATAAATTTTTAAAAAAATCCTAATTTATGATGAAATAATTGAACATTTTCTGCTTGAGATTGGGAACAAGGCAAGGATACTCAGTCTCATCACTTCTATTCAATTATACTAGCAATTTCAGCAGTGCAGTAAAGCAAGAGAAGAAATGAAAGATATAAAGATTGGAAAGGAAGACGTAAAACTGTCAAGTTGCAGATGACATGATTATTTACATTGAAAATCCTAAGGAATATACCAAACAACTACTAAAACTAATAAATCTAGTAAATTATTCTCATCTCAGCATACAATGTGATGGAGTTTGGATGTATTGTCCTCCCAGAACTCATGTGGAAATTTGATCCCCATTGTGGCAGTTTGAGTTATGGGGGCAGATCCCTCATGAATGGGTTAATGTTCTCCCTGGGGGCGGGGGGCCTCAGTTAATTCTCGCTCTATTAGTTCCTGTGAGAGCTGATTGTTCAAAAAACCGTGGTACATCCTCCTCTCTCTCTTGCTTCCTCTCTCCATGTGATCTGCTTGTACCCGTTGGCTGCCTGCCACTTTCTGCCATGAGCAGAAGCAGCCTGAGGCCCGTGCCAGATGCAACTGTCCCAGAATCATAAGCCTAATAAACCTCTGTTCTTTATAAATTACCCAGTCTCAGGTATTTCTGTTATAGCAACACAAAATGGACTAATATACAATGTTAATATGCAAAAATCAGTTATATTTATATATACTAGTTACAAACAATTAGAAAACAAAAAAAAATTAATTTTATTTATAATAGCATCATAAAACATATAATATTTGTGAATAAACTTAACAAAAGACACACAAGTCCTCTATATGAAAATCACAAATTGCTGATGAAAATTAAAGTTGAGAGAGGTATCATGTTCACATATTGAAAGACTCAATACTGTTATGACTCAAACTGGTATATACATTCAATGCAATTCCAATCATAATCCTTCCAGGTTTAAAAAAAAATGCTTATTCTAAAATGTATATTGAAATTCAGAGGACCTAAAATAGAGACAAAGAAACTTTAAAAAGGAAAACGAGGTTGGAGGTTTCATACTACCTGACTTCACAGCTTTACTGTGAAGCCTCAAGACATTATGGTACTGTTATAATGATAGATATTGTATTACAGGAGCAGAACAAAAGAGCTTAAAAATAAACCAATGCTCTTAAAGTCATTTGATTATTGACAAGGCACCAAAGCAATCCAGTGAAGAAAGAAAGCCTTTTCAACAAATGACGCTGGAGCAATTGAATATTCATATGGAAAACAACGAACCTCAACTTATACCTCACACTTTTTTTTTTTTTTCCTTTTTGTCCTTTTCCGTGTCCGGCAACGGATCGCAACCCTCAGTGTCGCCCCCGTACCGGACCGGGACCGGCAACGGGAACGCAACCCTCGGTGTTGCTCCCGCACCTCGCTCAGCCAGTGAGCGGGAACCAGTCTGTGTGTGGGATCCGAACCCTCGGCGTTTAGATTGTTTTTAGTAATTTTGGAGAAAACAGAGTTTTTCTATTTTATGTTGCCTTTCATTCAAGTTGTTTTTTACATAATATTTCCTTTCCCTTTACTGCAGTTTTCATGATAAGACCTGATTTGGTATATTCAGTGCTTTTTGTAGTGAAAAATGCCATAGAATTATCCCATAGTTTGCCTTGGTCTTAACTGTTGTAAAAGGAGTGGATTTCAAGTGCCTTTTACAAAGGAGTTGCCATGGAGAAGCCAGTGTCAGGAGCTAAAGGACTCATTGTGAACTCCATCCTAGATATCTCCTTGCCCTGGGCTTTTTTTGTTTGTTTGTTTTTTAAATCCTCATTTAAAGATAAAACCAGACAATTTAAATTTAAGCATTGCTGCTTTTTATCTAGAGCTTCTGCTTATTGTGAATTACTTTCTTAGCAAAATGCAAGGTGTCTTCTTCATGTATTTCTTTAAGTAGATAAGCAAAAACTATGAAGCTTACAGAAGAAAAGAGGAGAATATCTTCACAAGTTGAGGATGACAGAATTTTCTTAAATAATAAACAAAAAGCAATCAATATCCATTTTGAAATTGATACATTTATACTTCAAATAAAAAAATTTATGAATATCAAAAGACACTATTAAGAAAATGAATAAGCAAGTCACAGACTGTAAGAAAATGTTACCAAAATATGAATCTGATAAAAGATTGGTTTTGGTAATATAGAAAGAACTCCTACAAGATAATAAAAATACAGAAAAACTAATAAAAATGAGCAACAGACATAAACAGGTTTGGATCCCCATACCAGCCAGCTGCCCCCACAAGTGACATAAATAGATACTTCACAAAGAAAAATATGTAAAAAGCATATGAAAAGATGTTCAATATAATAAGTTCTTCAGGGAAACGTAAATTAAAATCAGAATGAGCTACCAATACACATCTTCCAGAATGGCTCTAATTTTAAAATCTTACAATACCAAATATTGGTGAGGATGTGGAGCAACTGAAAGAATTAATACGTTATTGATGGTACAACCATTTTTGAACAAGTTCTGCAGTTTCTACTAAAACTAAACATTTGGGACCGGCCCATGGCTCACTTGGGAGAGCGTGGTGCTGACAACACCAAGTCAAGGGTTAAGATCCCCTTACTGGTCATCTTTAAAAAACAAACAAAAAAACATTCGCCTACCCTGTGACCCAGGAAGTCCACACCTCAGTACTCATATTTACTCAAGAGATATGAAAACATAACAAAAAAACATTCGCCTGCCCTGTGACCCAGGAAGTCCACACCTCAGTACTCATATTTACTCAAGAGATATGAAAACATATAGCCACAGAAAGACGTGTACAAGGATGTTCATACCCCAATCTAACCATGAGAAAAATGTCAGTTGAAGGACATTCTACAAAATACTTGACCATTACTCTTCAAAACTGTCAAGGACCTCAAAACAAGGAAAGTCTGAGGAACTATAACAACCAAGAGAAGCCTAAGGAGACATAATGACTGAGTGTGATGTGGGATCCCATATGGGATCCTGGAACAGAAAAAGAACATTTGATGAAAACTAAGGAAATCTAAATACTGTACTAATAATGACATATCAATAGTCATTCATTAATTGTAACAAATATACTGTACTAATATAAGATGTTAATAGAGAAAACTGGCTGTGGGGTGTAGGGGAACTCTCTGTACTATCTTTGTGGTTTTTCTGTTAATTTAAAACTATTCTAAAGTGTGTAAGTTTGTTATTTAAAAAAAGAAATGTCATAGTAGTTTTCTTCATAATAGCCAAACCTGGAAACAGTCTAGGTGTCCATTAACAGGAGAAAGGATAAACTGAGATATTCATACAATAGAATACTACTTAGCAATAAAAAAGAATGAACAACTTATAAATGCCACAGAATGGATGTATCTCAAAAACATGTTGACTGAAAGAAGCCTAAGGCCAAAGAGTTTATACCATATGTCTGTGTGATTCCATTTTTTTGAAGTTCTAAAATAGGCTAAACTAATCTGTGGTGGAAGAAGATCAAAACAGTAGTTGTCTCTGGAGAATATGGGGGAGGATTGACTAGAAAGGGACGTGAGGGAAATTTTCTGGGATAATGGTAATGTTCTGTATCTTGATAGGGGTTTGCATTACACGATGATGTGCATTTTTAAGAACTCATTGAATGATATGCTTAAGATCTGTGCACTTTGCCCTACGTAAATTTTACCTTAAAAATATTGCAAACATATATTGAATGCTAATTAATAATATGCATGCTGAAGTGTCAGGAGTATACTGATATCTGCAACTTATTTTATAAATGCATCAAAAAAGTAGGATGGATTGAGTGCTGAATAGGTGAAAAAATATGTGGTTTTGCAAATAGAATGTTAATTGTAGAGTCCAGTTGGTGGGTAATGGGTATTCACTGTGTAATTCTTTTAACTTTTCTTTCTATATGTTTGCAAATGTTCATAATAAAATATTGAGGGGAGAAAATAAAGGTTATCTGAAATTCTGTCTAATGGGACCCACTTTTTGCTCATTGTTCTTAGTATTAAGTAGATCTCTGGCAGAAAATTCTTAGAGTGACATTGCTCATCAATAATTCCTTTTATTCTCCTTGAGACACTTTTAGGGAGGATATAGAGGTAGTGTAGTCCTGCTCTGGAAGAGGAATTCTGCTGCTAAGTTATCCAAAATGGTATCCTTATTAAATTTGGAATGCTCAAATTTGTAGAAATGTACCCCAAGTGGATAATATTTATAACCCCTTTCTTTTCAGATATACAACCAAATGTGGAACTGAAAAACACTCAGGAGCAGTCTGTGCCCACAGGTAACATCAGATCTTTCTTCTCTAGAAATATACCGTTACTGAGGGCCCGTGGCTCACTCGGGAGAGTGTGGTGCTGATAACACCAAGGCCATGGGTTTGGATCCTATATAGGATTGGCCGGTTCGCTCACTCGCTGAGCATGGTGCTGACAACACCAAGCCAAGGGTTAAGATCCCCTTACTGGTTATCTTTAAAAAAAAAAAAGAAATATACCGTTACTGAAAATACCAAAGAGAGAGGAATGTTCTTATTCTGATTGCAGTAGAAATGTTATGGAAATGTGTTTTTTTTAAAAATGTGATTAAGCGGCTGGTTTGTTGGCTCACCTGGTTAGAGCACAGCCTTATAACAAACACCAAGATCACAGGTTTGGATCCCCATACTGGCCAGCTGGAAAAAAAATGTGGTTGTCTCTTGCTAATAAAAAAAAATTTCATCCATGTAGGTCATATAAGTTCTTTAGCATCATAAGGCCAAACCATACTGCCTAATGTTGATCACTGTTTTTGTTTTGTTTTTATCTTTTTAATTTTTCAACTGATTGGTTTGGATAAAGACAGTTTTGTTGAATAATATAGTACAGTAGCTTGTATTTGAATGACTTGTGCTTTCACTTTAAAACAGTGTTCAGCAAACTTTTTTGTGAAGGGCCAGATAATAAATATTTTAAACTTTGTAGGCCATATATGGTCTCTGTCACAAATTCTTCTTTGTGTTTTTTTAGTCCTTTAAAAATTGAAAACGATTCCTACCTCCTGGGCCCATTCAGAAACAGACTATGGTCAGACTTGACCCTCAGGTCACAGTTTGCTGACCCCTGCTCTAGAATAAACTATAAACATTTAAAATAATTTATTTTCTAAAAATAACTTCTGTGTTCTCCACTGATTAACTCACTTTGTTTGAATCAAAGCTTATGTTATATTTAAAAATTTATCACCTAAGTGCCTTTTGTGTTACTATGAGTTGTAAACCCATATTTTAATTGTACCCAAACCTCATATTAATTGTTCAGGTGTGCCTTGTATTTTGTCATTTCAGGCTTGAGAAAGGTGAACCACCGTTTAGAACAGTATCTTAGAGCTCATAGAGTATACATCATAATATGCAGAAATTAGAAGTTTTAGGTATTCATAAATCAAAAAATGAGTCCATGGTGACCACATTTTCAGGGCCTCTTAGTCATGGATTTCATGAAATGTGCTTCCATTTTACTCTTGCATTCCAGTAAATGTCCTGCTCTATGTGTTTGGTCATGACTGCAGCTGAAAGGAATGCCACTGCAGAGTTTCTAGTCACCTCCCTACTTCAGCCCAGCCTAAATATGCCACAGGATTCAGTGTCCTTGACTATTTGTTGCATGAATATGAATAGGTCCTCAGTAGGTATTTATTGAATACTGGAAAAGAGTTTGATAGAAAGTGGATAACTTTTCAGTTTATTTCTTCTGCTCTTATATTTTTGTTAAGCTACTATGCTTATAGTGAAAGTAATTCCAGCTACATTGTTTCTTTTTTTATTCCTAGTATTATCAATATTTATCATACAAAATTACATTCCCTTTAAACTTGATTTTTAACAAGTTTGCTGCTTATTTAAGCATGCTTTTATATGTCTGCTCCCTTTCACTTATGAGCTCCCATAACACTTTGTATTTCCTTTAATCCCTGTCCAACCAAGTCTACCTTCTATTATAGTCCTGGGCTTCTTTTACCTATATCTGCAAAGTACTCTTATTAGTTCCTTGAGGACAGGCATAATGACTTTTTCATATCTGTAGTCTTGTCAGCATTTAATAAATGTTTAAAAAAAATAAAGGAACTTGGGGTCCAATGTGTTTTCACAGAATCACTTTTATAATGTGAACAGAAGGGAAAAATAGGATTTGGCATACAGAAGCTTAGAGGCTTCCCTTTAGAAAAGTGTCTTTCCCAGACTGGGTTATGCCAGTGTCAGGCTCAGTATTTCTCATCACTACATATTAATACTTTCTGGTTATAAATAGCAATGGCATCCTACTGAATATCATGAGATATATCAATGCAGAGAGAATTTCTGTCCAGAAGGAGCATGAGTGCATTTGAGCTCAGGTGAAAGAAATATTCAAGAAAGTTGTGTGCAATGGAAGGGTGCATGAACCCTGAGCATATTTCTGAACCTCATGAGTTTTCACTTATATCACCCTAGAGTATATGCGAAGGGAATACTATCGATCACTAAGGGATTCTGTGAAGCTGAAAATTAAATGGGGCCCTATTTAATACATATTCATTTTTAAAAATCCTTTAAAGTTGACTACACACTTAAAACTCTTTTTGTCTTTTAGAAAGTCCAGCAGTTTTGAATGACTACATTTTAACCAAACCTCATGAAATAGAAAATGTGGACAATGCAGAAGGCCCAAGCAATGAAGATGAAGATATAGGAGGTGAGCCATAGTATGCAAACTAATGGTTATAGATATGATTAAGCCTTACTGTAAAGAAGAAATCGGCTCTCAGAGGAAAACTTGTATTTGTGGGTTTAGTTAGGAGTGATTCAGTTTTGTCAATTTCACAAATGTTTGCATTTACTATTTAAATTTATATTTAAGTTTGTTGTCAGTGAACTTTAAGAATTTAAGGTGTTTTATTCAGTGTTCTAGTTATATTAACATCATTTTATGAAAATAATGTTTATTTTACTTTCTTCCATTATAAAAGTAATGCATGTTCATTACAGAAAGTTTGTTTGGGGTGTTTTTCAACACCAACAACCAATTCTCCAGTTCTCCAAACAATAACTGTGTGTCCATCAATTCAATTCAATTCAATTCTGACACTAACTCCCAGAGTTAGAGTACACCCCACAGGTTAAGAACTCAATCCCACGAGACTGCCCCACTTCAGACACCAGTCTCAAGTACTAGGTCCCCGGGTTACCTGCACTTCTGTCTGAATTAGCTACAAAGTTGGGAGTTCCACAACCCCCCTCAAGTTCAATTATTTGCTAGGATGACTCACAAAACTTGTTATATAACCCGTTTATTCATTCTTTTATCCTCAGCTACTTTTCCTCCTTCTCTCCATTTGTACCCAATCTTTTCAACCTTGGGAAGGGACATTAGGTTCGGCCACTGAGCTTGTCTAAACTGCAGGCAGCAATACTAGTCTAGCAAGTACCTCCCACTCACTCAGCCTACTTCTGTACATATAGGGCAGGGGTACATAAGTACAGAACTAGTGGGATATTTCTACTGGTAGATAATATAGCTACATTCACTGTTAACCCCAGTTTTGCTAGATGGGGTGAAGGCACAACCTGTCTCATCAGGCCCTTAAGAATTCTGACATAAAGGCTTAAAACTATAGTTACAGTTTCTTGCTTAGGAATCATCTCTATTTCTGGCACTTGTAGTTGCAGCCCTGGTCCTGCAACCACTATCTGGTAGGAAAGAGAAAGTTGAAGTGATGTGTGGAAGGAAATAAAAGATATTTGTCATACCAGTGTCCTTCCCCATCCTTTCTTCCCTAGACCCACCAGAAAAACAGAGGAATCTACCTAGTAGGGACTCTCCTTGACCACTATCTGGTAGGAAAGAGAAAGTTGAAGTGATGTGTGGAAGGAAATAAAAGATATTTGTCATACCAGTGTCCTTCCTCATCCTTTCTTCCCTAGACCCACCAGAAAAACAGAGGAATCTACCTAGTAGGGACTCTCCTTTAGCTCATATTGATTGTGAGCACACTCGTGAAAATGTGTAAACCAGCCCTTTATGCCTATTCTTCACCCTGTGTTAGACAACCAGTGTTTTAATTGCCTGCTCCAGTTCTCTATCAAACTGATATATCTTTGCATATTGTTTGACATTATGGATGGTAAATAGTGTTCCTTGGTCTGAAGAAATGTGACTCGGAGGTCCACATTGGTACAGTATCATCTGTTCTGGTTCTTTTATGGTACTCTGACCATTTGCATCTCCCACTGGGTAAGCAAAGCTCAGTCCAGAGTCAGTATCTATCCATGCCAAATCCATTTGAAGCCCCTTTGGCTACTGGCATTGGGAGCAATGCCAATCCACTTGCCAGCTTTGTGCAGGGCCTTCCCCCTGGGGAATCTTCTCTGTAGCCATCTGCAGTCTCTGTCTCTATTGTTAGCAGACGGAAGAGTTTGTTGGCATTTTGTGCCACAGAGGATGCAAGAGGAATATATCCAAATTCAGCTCATCCTCTACATTGCTGCAGCAGCTCGTGCCATGTCCACTCACTTCATGGACCCACCTCAGGCAATCACACCATGATATCCATTTGTTGGTTCCAATCACCTTCTGAGCCTGGAGGGGGATTCTTTTGCTGGGCATCAACATGTCCCACTGTAATACACCCTTCAAATTCCCATAGTGATTTCCAGAGGGCTGTGCCCCATTTGGGAATCCCTTTAATAGGCCAAATTTCCACTGCCCACATGCCATTGGCCAGACCATTGGAAATCACCCATGAATCAGTAGAAACTGAAAAATAGAGGCATTTATTATTCTTCAATTCTTTTATCACTGCTAGGAAAACAGGAGGTAATTCATCCTACCGAGCTGATTTGTTTTTACCTTCTTTAATCAGGGTAGTAGTCTTCCAAATGGGATGTTGTCCCTTAACCTTAGAACTGCCATCCACAAACCAAGCAGCTCTTTGTTGGTCAGTCAAGGGCTACTTTATAGGATACTGTTCAAGTGACAATAAAATCCAGCAGCTTTTCACATAGTCACAAAGTCAATGCTAGGGGAAAAGAGGCTCCCTGCTTGTGAATATCTCCTTCTTGCATTCCCCAGGTAGCATGATCCTGTATATACTGTTCAAGTGACAATAAAATCCAGCAGCTTTTCACATAGTTACAAAGTCAATGCTAGGGGGAAAGAGGCTCCCTGCTTGTGAATATCTCCTTCTTGCATTCCCCAGGTAGCATGATCCTGTATAAACCATTTCCATTTTATTATGGAACTCTTCTGGGGCATTGCCCTCCCCATTAGAGCATTTATTTCTCTGACATCACCCAAAGCATTGTGGGTATCTTATTTTTTTAAGATTATTTTTTGTCCTTCAGTGATAGGGCAGTTTTGATTAATGTTTGATAGCAGTCTGATAATTGTCCTCAAATGGAAATTCTCTAGTGCAGAGTCCCAATTGTCGCTGGGAAGTGCTCACAGGCTTTTGCCGTTAATTCCTAGTCTATGCTCCACTTAGAGCTATCGCAGAGAATTTGTCTATACCACACTTCAGTTTCTCTTCTACACTGTGAAGAGCTTGTGCGATCTTTTTTTTTTTTTTGGCAGCTGGCTGATACAGGGATCTTCAACCCTTGACCTTGGTGTTATTGCACCATGCTGTAAGAAAGTGAGCTAACTGGCCAATCTTATTTGTTACCTTTTAGCATATCTAATTAATATTTCTTGAAGGGTGGATTTACCTGCCTTCTGTTTTACAGAAACAGTTCCCCAGACAGACACAATGTCCATCCCCATAATACGTTCAGGTAAAAGAGATGAAACCAGTTCAAACATTACCAATTTTCTTCAACTTTCACTTTAATCCCATCGACCCTTACATTTCTAACTGTGGCCTCTGTCAGGGCTTCATCAAAGGTTTCTGGTTTTACAGTGCTAGGTAGGGAGGCGTTCTCTAGCCAGATATAACATCCATTCCCATAAAACGTTTATATAAAGGAGACACAGTCTTTTTACATAAAACCTGTTTGGTATAATGGGGTTTTTTTTGGCAGCTGACTCGTATGGGGATCCAAACCCTTGACCTTGGTGTTACAAGGGTGTGCTCTAACTAACTGAGCTAACTGGCCAGCCCCCTCATAAAGCCTATTAAACATTCCGATTTTCATCTAAATCTCCACCTTAATCCTATCAACTCTTCCATTTCTATATTTTCTCAATCTCATTGAAGCCCCTATTAAGGCTTCGCCAGCACATTTTGGTACCATAGTATATGAGGCTCATGTGAATGAGTCCCAGAAACTTTTCTTTTCCACCCCCTGACCACTTTACCTCCTTATGTGCAAAAGGCTTTTGGGTCCATAATGAGGCATTCAGTCAAGGGACCCTGGCCCTTTTGTCAGTCTTTATCATGATTAATCTGCCTATTGCCCTAGGTGATTTCAGATTAGATTTCTCAATGTAATGTTTGCCTTCTGGATTTGAACTTTTTTCCAAACTGAATGAACTTGTTTGGGTTCCTTAAATGTAGGAGGACCATGAAGGGATCCCTTTGGTTTGTCCAACCTTCAGTAGTGCTTTAAGACCTTTGTTTCAACCACGTCAATGTCTTTTATTTATCCCATGTGTTAATAACCATCACCCTGCTGGGAACTTTATCCTCCTGGGAATGAGTCCCTTGCCTCTTTTCCTTTTTCCCTCCCTCTTTGTTTCACAACTATCAAGGTTTCTTTTATTCACCTTATTTCTTAATAACCATTTAAAAATGTCCGTCTTGATGAGATGAATCCTTTGACTCTCCCCTCTGCTTCTCCCCATTTTGTTGTTAATTAATCTAACATGTTTGTGAGCATCTCTAAGATCCATGAGGGGAAGCTGAGGAAGCAAATTCAATAAAGCTTCTTGGACTGTTGCTCAATTTTACAGCACTTAACGTTACATTCAAAAGAGGCTCCCTGTACCAACTGTATTTTCTTAGATTCTGAATTTGTCTATTTAGCATCCATTAATCATGGGGCCAGTCATATTAACTATATTTTCTTATTTTCTATATTCTTGATACTCTGACATTTGGGGGCCATAGAGATCCAGGGGGAGACTACTACTCCCAGGGCTAGTCAATGATTAGAGGTAATAAAGGGCTTGGACAGGAGTGTGCTTTTCATATATGAAGCCACCAATCCTGAGTCTATACCCTCCTGAGTCAGTTACCTCCTATCTAACTCTTACACACAAAGCCGATATTTCCCCTGCCCTAAATCATTCCAGGGCCTGATACCAGACAACTAGAGACCATCCCTATGTCCAAAGTCTGCTAAAATTATTCAAATTATCCACCTTAAACTATTTACCCTGCCCTGCCTTGCCTTTCTCACAGAAACCTTAGTAAAGGCTCTGGCCTAATCTTTTCTCTCACTTCTCTTTTCTGCCTCCTGACCAGCACTGGTGCTTTCCTCTGTGACCCTACATAGCATATAATAACTCCTCTCTGGCATCTGTGAATGTAATAAACTTCTTATATCCAAGCCCCATTCTCATTTTCTCCTGTGGCCACACCAACTTTACCATACCATATGCAACATGTACGTTCTTGGATACCCTTAACCATGGCATTTACTATGACCGGGAATGAATATCCCAGTTATCATAAAGCCAATCCCACATAGCTCATAGGTTACATATGAAGAATTTTAGATGCTTCATCTGTGATGTTCCACTTGGCATCTATAGGG